TTACTCTCAATAAAATTCGATAGATACATGGATGGATGGATGGATGGATGGATGGATGGATGGATGGATAGATAGACTGATCATGGATGGGTGGATGGATGGATCGATGGATGAATGGATAGATGGAGATGGATGGATGGATGGATGGATAGATGGATGGATGGATGGATGGATGGATAGATGGATGGATGGATGGATGGATGAATGGATGGATAGATGGATGGATGGATGGATGAATGGATGGATAGATGGATGGATGGATGGATGGATGGATGGATGGATGAATAGATGGATGGATGAATGCATATATGCATGGAGAGATGGATGGATGGATGGATGGATGGATGGATAGATGGATGGATGGATGGATGGATGGATGTGTAACGGAGCTAGTTTTACCATAGCTTATTAATTACTGTTAGTTTGGGCACGAGGCCATGCGGGTCGCGTTGGTGACAAGCCAGGGGGAATAGATGAGATATTTGGTGCGCGCGCGATGCAGGCTGAGGGTAATAGGAGAAGCAATAAGGTGGCTAACGACGTTGAACAGAGGGGTCGGAGTGCGGGATAATCTGTTATCACCCGCAGCCGGCGTACGTCGTGACCAGGGAGGTCGAACAACAAGTTCGGGTGCATTTAAGAGAGCTGGGAGGAAGAGCAGGAGGCACTTCTTCTCCATTTGTTTGACTGTCACTGACGTGTATTTGTACGCATTCAGCCTTACGTATCTGCTCTCTGCTTGTCGATCTATTATGTCTAATACAACTGTTTGTGGTACGTTACTTTACTAGTTTGTGTTTACTTCTTGTCTTACGCTGTTGCTATGCTTTACTCATACGGCCTTTTCCCCACGGCGAGGTTACATTTGGTTCCGTTTGACCAAAAAGAACTAAGTATTCCTTTGCAAAACAACGCAAGAGGGAGAAGACGAAGAAGACGAATCTACCGTGTATGATGCACGCGCCGAACATTGAGTAAACACAACGCAGGAGAAAGGAGAAGATGGAAAAGAAGAAGAGGAAGACAGAAGAAATGAACATTGATATGCTTGGCAGATTCCGCAGTGATGGTGACATTCGTTATGCAGAGTTTCGGCATACGGGCATTGCGTAGGGAAATGCATACGAACAGTGATATGATGCGGCAGAGAACGTACATATATATATAATACAGAACATTCGCAAGTAAAGTTTACAACCTGGCTACCGTGGCCGCAAACGCAGTCATACGGTCTCACGTAACGACGCTGAGATGCTTCGATGTACACCGCGCTGAAGTATTGATTTGACAGCGTTGCCAGGGACAACCAGAGAGCCAACAAGCAAGCGAGCTAGCAAGCGTCAGAACGGCCAGTTGACGACCGCGACGAAGAGAACGCACTTCAAACTTTTCAAGCTTAAGCTCAACACAGCTTTAACAAAGAGGGGTGAGTGAAACAAATTCTTGTGTCGGCATAGAAAGATTTCGTATTAAAGAAGCTTTGAAAGTTACGAGCGTATTACTTAGCGAAATAGTACAGCACTTTTCCCTACCTATATAACTCTACCTCCACTGCCCCTCCGCCACCCTAAACATCCTATTATGTTATTACGTTAGCCATGAGTGATTTATCCATTGAAACGATGGCACGTGCTTTTTGTGAAGGGGTTAAGCCATTATTCGACAGTTTAGCTCATAGCACACGGATTTCGGAATTGCGTCGAGAAATGCCGAAACTTTCGGGGGAAGAACTTCAGGAACATAAATTTGGACTTACCTTTATACAATGGCATGCAGCCTTAACATGGGTTCAAATTCAAGTAAAATTATCTGATAGCGAGCTCATGAATTTTGCTATAAGCACATTGCACGGACCTGCTGCTGACTTTACGCGCCGTCTACTCTCGGAGACGCCCGAAATTACTTGGAAGAGTTATTATGAAGCTTTATGCTCACGGTTTAGAGACCTGTTAGATGGGTTAATAGCAGATAGACAGTTAAAAAGTTTCCGTCAAAATCAATGTGAAGAAATACGAACTTATGCAGATCGTCTAATTCGTCTAGCGGAAATAGCGATTTCCCTACACCAAATGAATCAGGAATTAATTCAAAAACGTCTTACGGACATATTTTGGACGGGCTGAACAGTATTGTCACATAAAGTATGCAAATTACAGGACGCTATCGACTTAGCTGTGAGGCGATCAGTTTTGGAAGGAGAACTTTCGATACGCAGGAGGCATACCACTACAGACACTAATGAGATTAGACGTAAGGCGGGGATAGGCAGAGACATGCCTAGTAAAAACGTTCCACAGTTATGTTCGCATGGCGAATTGCGACCATACCGAACACAGGGTCACTTCGCTTATGAATGCCGACGTATACGCAATCATCACGTTCATAGTGACAAAGCCGGGTTAAGCGTACCGTCATCCACGGTTGATAGATCGTTAACCGCAACGCCATGCTGCGATATTCGAGTATCCGGGATTACACTTATGCCACTAATAGATACGAAATCTGAATGTACTCTTTTAGATGAAGCGGTTTGGCAAAGACTGCCGGAGCGTGCTACAGAGACTGCGACTTTCTGTAGTGCAGATACAGCAAACTTGCAATCGGTCTCAGGACAGCGGTTAGAAGTAAAAGGAGAGGTCACCATACCCATTAAAATAGGCAGAGTTACGTCTAAATGTACCATGTATATTATCAAGGGGTTACCAACACAGGTGCTTATAGGCGCAGATTTTCTCAAGCATACAAAGGCAAGGGTCGATTGTGAGAATGCATGTCTGTCGGTAGGAAATAGTGTTATTCCTATATTTGGTCGCAAAGCAAGGCGCATATCGTTACCACCACTCAGTGTAGCAGCGGTGCAACGCTACAGGTGGAGCGAGCCTTTTGGAGACGATTCATTGTGAATGTCGAGTAAGTGGGAAATTGTTAGTGGGAACAAATATTCTAGTCCAGCCATCGGCAGCACTCAAGATCTGCCGTCGTTATCCAGGACTGCAGGTAGTATCAGCTGTGTATCGGGTGACAAAGAATGGAACGATACATAGCGTAGTTAAGAATGCATCAGCTTCACGCGTTCACTTGCCGCATAAGGCAACTTTAGCGATTATAGAGAAACTGACGACGCGTAGTATAAAGTCTGTCGCGCTACAGACATTACGGACGGCGTAAGGGAACGTACGGGTCCATTATGCACTGCGGGCGATGGAGCACAGCGTCGAGCGATTAATGCAATAATGAGGTATAGCCACTTGCATCAACAGGAAGATAGAAATATGAAACCTGCTAACACGCACAAGCAAGATGTCAATAAGACGCGGGAAGATAGGGTTGGCGCGCAAGACACTGCGAGAACACGGGATATACTCCCTAGATACGCTAAAACGGTTCGCGGAGCGGATGATGAAACTGACAGCGTTAGTAGTGAGAATTGGGAACTTGAAGACGTACTCCCATTAGCAGAACTTAGAGATTCACCTGGGAGAG